GGGGGGGAGTGTTAGTTTTAGTCTCGTGGGATGGCAACAGTGAGGGGACCGGGGTATTGACTAGAAGGTTGAAAGTGGAAGAGGGGAAAAGGGTAGAGAGAACTGCGGAGGGGTTTTATGTGAATTTTTAATGCTAATGCTCGATCAGCCGGTGGGTTTCTGTCCGTGCCGTAAAAAGCGCCCAAGATGAGCCGAGTTTTAAATGGCGCTGAAAAACTGTTTTTGAGCTGAGCGAGCCGAGGTATGCTTCAGGGATGGTGCAGTTAGTGCTGCGCTGATGGTAGAGCATAAAGCAAGCAGAAGGTGATTCATATGTATTTTCTTCGACGGACCGGCCAACGAGTAAAGGGAATGGCGCTGTGCGGTGAACGTAGCAGAATGTCGCTCACTAATTCCATTTCATTTCTGCACTCCTCTTGCTTCTCCGCTCGAAGCAAGAAAGGTCGGTGAGGAAACTAGGCTTGTGCCGCCGCCATGACTTTTGATCAAGCAGGAGAAAGGGTCCTGGAAACACGCCTGGCGCTCTTTCATCCGGCTTTCCACACTTCCAAAACCGTCAATCTCGAGGCAGGCCTGCAGTGCTCTTGGCAATTTGCGTACTGTGCCCCTAGAAATACTGCCAGGGAATTGAGGGTGCTTATTTTGTACATGTACTTTTTTCCGACGGCTAGAAATTTTCTCCTGAAATTTTGAGGTTCACTATGTCTCGGGCACGTTTTGATCATACAGAACTCGGTTTTTGCTAATTTGAAATTTTGCAGGCTACAATGTGCGTAACATTTCTTTATTTGAACGACCAGGTGATTGGCGATCCGAAACGCTATCAGCTAATCCTATTGAATAATCGCGACGAGAATTTTGATCGACCAACATCGTTAGCCGCATGGCAAGATGGCATTCTTTGTGGTGAATTCTTCCTCCCTGATTTGACTGAAGGAAAAACGAGTGAGCGAGAGAGAGAAAGAGAGCAAAAATTTGAAATTCTTTAAAATAACACATTTGTTATTATTTCTTTAAGAAAAAAAAATTCTTTGAAACGGAACTACATCCTGCCACACAACCAAAAATCGTACTGACGAGGTCCAGTTGTGGCACTGGCAAGAAATGTATACAACCTTACAGACCGGCGCATTTCTTTCAAATTTACTACTTTTTC